GCACGAAACACTGCAAAAACGCATGATCGCACGGGGCCCCCCAGTGCGCGTCGCCAATGATTTTTATTGCGCCGTAGCCGTCAGTGATATCATCATAAAATCACTTAATGCAAGCATGTTGTGCATACCTTTCATCCGATCGTCCATTCCGTCCAGCTAAGTGTCGAATCTGTTTCTGGGCTTCACGCAACTCGCCATGTAGCCGCATTATCTATAAATAACATACCTAACTATTGCAATAGCTGGCATTATAAGCTAAGGTCACATTCAGTTTTCTTCATCAATAAATACATCTCAAAGCTTAAGTGGTCACCGTCACAAATCAAAATCGTTAGTTTTTCGTTAAATTTATTACTTCCCAGAGGAACATTAGCTCTCATTTGAGGGGAGGGTAGGTATACTCTCTTCAACAAAAATTAACTTATTTGGTAGAAAACTTTTCTAAGGGAAATTTCAAAAAACTGCCAGAAATCACATGGCTATTCTATTCATTAGATTCCCTGTAACATTCGGGTTATATTAGAGTTAAGCGAACCTTAAGTTTGAGACGTACGATTTCTTTGTCGTCCACAGAATGAGAATGAATGTTAGGAGCTTGGCGGTTGCATTCACCAGATTTGACTTTGGAACCTAAAATGTGAAGATATGCCGTCCAGAACGAATATGGAAAATCTTGATTGGCGGAATTAATAATTGCTTTACTGTGCCTGCAAGTTTTGTCTAACAAAAGTCTTAGATTACAATGTGATAGTTGTTAGCATCATTTTCACTATGATGACGAAGAGATGAGTACGAACTACTAAGGATCTTGCGATTATTTAGGAAAGAAATCGAGATTTTTTGATCGTTGACGACCACTGACACAAACCTCGCGATACTACGATGCTCTCAGAATATCGAAAAGGAAAGAAAGTATCTGTTTCGTAAATACCATTGTGCTGAAGGCAATGACGTACAGAATATGATCAATGATGAAAGCAGAGGCTGTGATGGAGAAAGCAGTGGGATGAAAATACTTAGAGTGTTTCCCGTGACCGTATGAAAAATTGTGCTGCTCATTTAAACGGTGTGCAAAATGTTACTCTCGGCATACGAGGAAATTGATAGGTGAGGCATGTTGTTCGACCTTGCTGACAACAGTGAATTTGGTGCATTAGTGAATGGTACCCACGGCTGCATGGGTGACTTGGAGAGGTCATGCGTACGCATGGAATAGGCGGTTTTTGCAACTATTTGAGGCATAGAACTCAGGATCGAAGGGCTTGGCATAAGTGCATTCAGCGAGTAGAAAGCATCACAGTAACATCAATTTGTGATCACCACACCGACTGTTAGACTGATGCGCCTAGTTTATGCTGCAATGAATTTGTGCAAATGGACAAACCAGTGCGTTCCAAACTACTCATACTCTTGGCCAATCTTAAACGGCTTGTAAATACAATTTGATCAGGAGCGGATTGATCTGCA